AACCCAGCACGCCTGGGTTCGATGGAACCCAGCACGCCTGGGTTCGATGGAACCCAGGCGCGAGTTCCTCGAACCCAGGCCTTGGGTTCCTTCGAACCCAGTAGGGAGGGGAAGGAGAAAAGGAAAGAGAAGGAGAAAAAAAAAAAAGGAAAGGAAAGAAAAAAGAAAAAAAAGAAATTTTTATTTATTAAATTATATTTTTGGTGGTAAGTCACAATATTTTGAAGTTCGAGGTAAATTTAATTTAAAAATGAAAGTTAAAGGATTGAATCGAGGATTTAACCTTTTTTTTTTTAAACCTTTAAGCAGTGGGGCCCACAAAAAAATTGACAGCAAGTAAACTTCCCGCCCGTGAGGTTCCAAGTTGGCATGTCAGGTTGTCAAAAAATTCTGAGTTGGCGCTGACATGTGCATACTTGACGGAGGCCAACGGTGCACGTGCTACACGTGACGTTCCGGCGTTAAATTTTGCCTCATTTCCTCAACTCGAAAACATTAAGGGTAAAAATCCATGTATTGTAATATGGAGGGCAAAAATCCAACAAGTCGAAAAGTTCAGGGGCAAAATGGTACCTTTTGCCTGCCTTTAAAAGCCAAAACGATCACGGGGCTGACTTGTTATTTCAATCAGACCAAAGTCAGTGATTTTTCTGGAGAAAGTGGAAACCTGTGTATGTGTACTGGACAAATAGACAAATAAGCTCTCATCTCTAGAAAAGAAGAACCATAAATTAATAATCTTTTCTGTGGAAAAGCAAATATCAACTTGAGCGGTACTAGGGGCACTCACCTCTTGCATTTTTCGCCTAACACTTTCATTTTTATTGGGCCACCGTAAGCTTGTTTTGAGCTGTGAAGTGCAACCTCTCACCAACCATAATAACGTGGCTCAATAAATGTTAAATTATTAGCCGGAGAGTGCAAGAGGCGAGGGCCCCTAGCACTGCTCATATGAACTTACTAAACCAATGAAAAGTAAATAAATTAAAAATAATGGGAAAGAAAGAAACTGGCTGGCAGAATTTTTTTAATTTGATCATGCTGAGCGCTGCTCCACGCAAATTTATTTATGAATTTTTTTAATTTATGTTAAACATAAATTTAAACTATATTTAATGTATTTTTTATATTTTATGGAATTTAATTGTTTTAATTTAATTTTTAAATAAATTTTTATAAGATAATTTTATATACTAAATACATAATAATTGAAAATTTTTTCATAAAAAATAATTAATATATACTCTAATTTAATATATATTATAATAAAAAATTATTTTTTTAAATTTAAATTAA